TTTCTCCAGTGACACTCATGTTAACTACCCCCAGAGTTAGATTTAACTGGGACAAGCTGGATCAGGGCGCGCACTACAAACTTTGGTGCTCCAAGCTAGAGAGGTGAAGGGGGTATCTGTGCCTCACCAGCCTTCCTGCTGATGGGGTAAACTGATGGTGAGCTCACTCCCTCTCTGGTCCAGCCAGAGGAGGAAATCCGATCAATTGTGAATCTGTGCTGGCTCCAAGGAGTCAGGCCCAGATCCTCCCATCAAAACCAAGGTGCCTATATCCCTGTGAGGATCTGGGCCTGAGGGGCCCACGTTGTTTAAGGCTGGCTCTGCTGCCAACCTGCAATGTTTGTTCCTGTCCTCATGTAGCCAAGAAAGCAACGTCGAGTGAAGAGAATTCAGCGCTGTGCCTATGAAAACAGACCTAGCCGACTGGAGAACGGCCCTGATCTGTGAAGTCATGCAGCGCCGAAGCTTAATCAAACCAGAAGAAGAGCGAAAGGGAAGTGTATTGGAAATATTTCTCCGTGGTAAAAGCGGTGCTGAAAGTTCACAGCCAGACCCCTGAAAGAGTGGGCACATGTACCAACCCTGGTACGTAACCAAGCAACTGTTCGATGCCATGTCGCAGCGACCCGGCGACAGCTGCCCAAGGTGATGGCACGAAGGGAAGGTTTGCTGCATCTGAGGGTGAAATGAAAGGAGTCAGAGCTGGGTGCACCTTGTTAATTAGGAAACGTGGAGGGTAGAAATAAACCTTCTTGCAGGGATGTCAGATCCAATCATTAGAACCAGTGCACCTGAGCCGGCGGCATCAGACGCTGCGTGAGAAGGCAACGAAAGGTTAGGGCCCATTAGTGCAAGCAGATCCCTGCACCTGTGTGGACCCTGGGGCCTATGCACTGAATCATGGCAGGATCGTGGCCAGCAGTCCTGCTATGCCTCCACAGGGCTCCAGGGACACTGACCCGCTGAGCCCAGCTTTCTTTCCATCTCAGTCCTATGGGCCGTTTGTAGTTGTCCTTTGAACAGACAAGCGGATCCATCTTGCAGATGAAGGATCCATACAGGATGGGGCTGCAACTCCCACTGCTGCCCCCAACAGTCTGATACTGCAGCAGGGAGGAAGGGTGGCTACGCTCCCTGGAATGCTGCACTACATGGGGGGACTTCTGGAGTCCCCTTAATTAATGAGCAAGCGAGCAGCTAAAAGTTCACCCTATAACTTTGATCCAGATGTCATTCAGGAAGACACACCAGGGAATGAACTCCCCCCCTCGCCCCCGACATACGCCAGAGATTATTCCATCAGCATAGCATAGTCATCAACCACACAATTCCACCTCTATGCTCAAAGCGGCCCCTGTTGACTGATCAACATCTGCATTGGAGGCAGCTGTTACTCTGTGTTTCCAACCAAGCCACCCAGCTGGGGAGGGAAGGAAGAAGGAATAGAATCAGGTGAGTAAATAAATAAAGCTTTGTACAATGACGAGGTTAAAACAGGATAAGTTATTTTATAGCCTCAAGTCTCTGGCTGCTAGCTAGGGAGGCTTTGGCAAGCCCTGTTGCTTAGTGCTGGTGCATTTCCAGATCTCTCCACTTGATTTATTAGTTTACTTAAAATCATGCACGTCTCAGTGAGGTACTTTTAGGCCTGCGCTTGCAATGAGCAAGGCTCCATGGGGATGCAGGGTTTTTGCTCATGTAGATTTCGTTGTGGGATAAGGGCCACGGTCCCCACGCCACGCCCCACATTAGTCACACCCAAAGCAGCATTCCCATCCAATTTAGCTGCTCGGCCTTTCTTTTCTAACATTGGAGCATGTCTTACAAGCCTTGTGTTTTGCTATGGGAAAAATCTCTAGGGGCATTCATGGAATAAAGGTTTTAGAGTGTGACCTGTTTGGGGCATGGGATCTTTTGGTGGGATTGTATAGCACTGACCATGATTTGGCTGCTATAGAAATACACAAATAAAATACATAATCATTAATAAAACTTAGCAGATATTTTAATACAAGCAACTCTTGTAGGATTTGAAGGCACTATTTTAGTCAGAGAAAGACAGATACGTTACCTAGGAGGCTATATAATGCTATAGGCACAATGCACAAGGAGTTGAGAGGTATAGCCTAGTGCACTTCCCTAGTTTGTCCCTTTTGAGCTCCTGTAGCCAGCCACCTCCCCTACCCCTTATAAAAGCAGGAGCCTTGGCTTTTTGCTATTTTCTTGCTTGCTGGCTGTTCCTTCTGCTCTCTGGCTCCTGGTGTGTTTTGCAAGTGGTTTATGCTTTTTGGTTTAAGAAGTGACTGGTTTATAAGGGCAGTGGAAACTTCTACAGGTTGCAGTTATGTGTGGCATAGGGTGTTGTGATGGAGGATTAGGAGGGATAGATAAACAACTGTTGTATCAGATAACTGGCTCCTTGTGTCTACTCATGCTGGTGGGTGGTGCACCTATCCAGGGTTTTTAGGACTATTGGTTTAATTATAACCTTGAATGCCTATGTGGCTCCCATCTTTAGAAAATGCACCATGTCTGTTGTGCTGAAACTGTGCCAGGCAACAATCATAGGGCAGATCATGTCCTCCTACGGCACAATCTGGAGAGAAAACCCTGCGAATTCTCCCTTGTAAATCTTCCTCTGACTCTGTGTCTGGAGGGGGCTGCCTTGCTCAGTGTGGAACCAACTGTGGCTCTGGAGATGTCTCTGCCCCCCCCAACTCCCTGCCAGTGTGACTGTAGCATAGACATGAAGACAGACCCCTCCATGCAGTGGGGAAAGGGTTTCAGTGAGTAGAGGGCTAATACAGCTGGGGCCTCCTCTATTGCCTTTGCAGCAGATTTCCTGCTGAGGGCTGTGATCAGGTCATTCCGGGGTCCCTTCCCACACAGGCTGCCTTAGATGGAAGGAGATGCCACCTCCATAATATCATCACCACCTGTCCACAAGTCCCTCCAGAGCCTCTCCACCCCATGCCTGGGACAGTCCAACACCCTTCTCTTTGCCTTCCCGCGAGTCCCCTCCACTCCACGCGAGGCCTTGAGCTTCCACCTCCCGGCACTGAAATCAAGAAGGTGGCGGAGAAGCCCAAGGGCAGGGGGCTCGTCTGAGAAAAGGAGAAATGGCAACCACCAGAGCTATCCCCTCGCAGCCACCTGCCCCACCAATCCTATGGCAGGTGGTGTTTGGGCCTGGCCTTGCATGTGAGGTCAATGGGAGTGACGAAGTGCAGGAGCGAGCCCTTGACTATGCAGAGCTCAAGCTCCCACTGCTCGGAAGAGAGGGCGGCGTGGCATTGGGAGCAGAGCACTCTGAGCACTGATTGAGGTGCCTAACTGGCAACCTCTCCGCAATCAGCCCTGCCTGCAGCTGCTGAGCCCAGCTGGAAACCGGGCCTGAGCCCCCACTGCCGGCAATGCTCAGTGATTCTGCAAGTCAGGCCCTGATGCACGAATGAATAGGGGGAGATGGGCTAAAACCCTCTACTTGTTACTTGAAAATATCCCCCGTGTGTGGGTAGGGACGTGGTATAACCTGCATTGCACCTGCATTCGCTGTATGGATGGGTTTGATTTCTATTGCACCGCACTGTCCAATATTTATAACTGGAGGAGTGTTCCTAGCTGATGAGTGCTCGCCCTGGGGCCCGCAGCCACTTTTCCTGCCCAACGCCCATCGGCTGCGATCAGGAGTCTCTCAATGGAGAAACTGCAGGCAGCTAAAACCCGGGCCGAGCAACGGGCCTCTTCCCGTGGCGGGGGCAGTGATGTCATAGGGACAGGGGTTCCAGAAGCCTGTGGCAGTTGAAGTCCGCCAGGGCGTCTCCAGCCCAGGCCGTGGTGGGGAGGGAGGTGTAGTCACACACCTGAAGTTTGGGCCTGGGAAGCACCCGCTGCTGCCGCTTCTCCATCAAGGCCTTTAAAGCCCAAGGTCTGTGAGACGGTAGAGAAGTGGCCCCAGCCTATTTGGCTTGTTTTCGCCAGCATCCCCTTTCTGCAGATGGCGTCTCTCCATCAGACCAGCTGGGCAGGTGAAGGGGACTGACAGGCAGGGACGCTGGTGCTACGCTGGAATTGGGACTAGCTAGCCAGCTGAGCCCTGGGTTCTGCCCTGTGGTGCAGGATGGGCCAGGACTCTGCTACTCTCCTCTGTGGGGTCATGCAGCTTGTTAGACGCTGAGCTCGCCTGCCCACGGGGGAAATCAGCACCCGGTTTATCAGCAGCGGTGCAGCTCCGCTGATGCTACCCGCCTCTGAGCAGCTTGTCACGACTGGGCGGTATAAATGCATAAGCCCCGTCTACGCTGTGGGTGGCAACAATGCAACTGCAGCGTGGCTGGAAAACGTGCGCTGGTTTTCCCAGCGTCGCTGCATAAGGATGCGTCTTGATTGAAGCAAAAAGTCTCAAAAGTGGCCCTTGACTTTGGATGCCTTGATGCTCAGGTGTCAGCCTGATTTTTCAGAAGTGCCGCTGAGCCGGAAGAAGCAGCAATACGTTATTACAAGTTAGATATCAAGTTAGGTGTAAACTAGAGTCTTTTTTTTTTTAAATGGGATAGAAAATGAAGTTTATACAGGACAAAAATTGCTCAGTCAACAGGGAGCAAGGGCCTTATCTGGGAGCTGTTTGAGGCATTATTTGTGCGCTGCTGCCGCCCAAATGCAGGGTGCTAAAGGACCCAAATGAGGGACACGCCAACTATTCATGCAGGAACCTTGAAACAATGCACCTTTAGTATCCAACTCTCTAACCTCAGGTTCATGGTTATTTACTTCTGATGTTAATAAGCTTCAACCATCAAAGCAGGGAGGTAGGGGCAGTTGGATTTGTATGGAAAGTGGATAACTACTTTGGGATTAAAACAAGGGAGGGATGCTTAGGGGAACGCTTGCTCTGTGGGTGTGTTGGTCTTCCAGGATGACTCTGATAGGTGTGATATCAGCATTGGCCTTTGACTGTTCTTTGCCTCCTTCCCACCCTCCCGCTGCTGCTGTTGCAGATCATGGCGACCAGAACCCAGAAGTTCAAAGCGTTTGTGTCTGAGCCGATGGGCGATAAGGACGTTACAGCAGTGGATGGCATTAATGACGAGCTTGGACTAAAATTAGCTGCAAAGGGGTTTGACAAGGTAACCATCTTTTCCTCCCACTCCTTCCCAACCTCTGTTCTATTTATGGAGCGGGTCCTGTGAAAGGACTTGATTTTAAGAAGACTGTACTTGTCATTTTGCTCGTGACAGTTTCTCCTGCTATTATGGTCTTAAAGGCACTTCATTACCATCACTTGTTCTAAACTCTGGAGGGTAGTTATGCTGAATTATTCAAAGGAGCAAGACTGAATGTTATTCAAAGGGGCAAGCTCAAATCTCTTCAATCTTAAACTGAATGCATCGTGACTGTTCTTTACAGTCCAACTGGAAATATTCAAACCATGCCTTTGGGTTTTTTTTAAACCCATTTTTTTCCCTGTTGCAGAATTTGTTTGTAAGAAAGCCACAAGGACTTCCCATGGGAGGGTGGGAGTACGACATTAAAAATATATATGTCAGGCATTCGTTAGGGTAAGTCTGGCAGCAGCTAAGCTAAAGAAGGTTGCGCTATTAAGTTTCTAGTGCTAGCTTGGGAAATTCCGTCACTGGAGAAACTGACGCCTCTACTTTCTTACTACCTTCCTTGAATGCTGGTTAGCCATCTCCCCCATAGGGAAAAAGTTTTTCCACTTCGAGGCCAGTTAACCTTTCGTGCGTGTTGGTTGAAAGGAAGTGAACAGAAGGGGTGTGGGAAGATCTCTGTGTAGATTTCAAGAAGAGAAAACCCTGCTCCACCTGTCTGTGTTGGGGATCAGTTTTGTGTAACTACTGGATCCCGTCTGCACCCGTAGCATTGCTACGAAGTCAAGTAGTTAGGCCAGAACAGCCCGCTATGGTCACTGCGTGCGTGGCCTTCTCTCCTCCTAGTACATGTGCATCACTTTGGTTACCATGGGATGCCTGGGAAGCAAGTCAGACAGCAACAGATATATGATGCCACCTTATTTTGTTAAACTGAAGTAATCAGGTGACTGCAGGGTTTGAGTTGTGCTGCTGATCGGGTAATGGGCACCACCTCCTGCTTGGTCCATTTTCTGCTGGAGTACTAATGGGCCAACTGCAGAATCCGTGAGCTAACTCCTTTAGCAGACAGTGACTGTCAAGGCAGGTCAATGTTTAGGCCCAACAACCCTAAGCCTGTCCTTGTCTTTTACAATAGCTAACATTTCAGGTTGCCATCAAAATGGGTCAGAGTGGATTGAAGTGGGGACCGGTTCCTGGCGGATTCACCCTTGGCACAAAAGTTAGGACAGACCCTGTTCCAGTGGTTATGGGGTGGAGTTAACCTTAGGCTGACCAGATAGCAACTGTGAGAAATCAGGACAGGGGCTGGGGGATAATAGGAGCCTATATAAGAAAAAGCCCCAAATATCGGGACTGTCCCTATAAAATCGGGACATCTGGTCACCCTAGTTAACCTGCAACAGTCTCGCATCATGAAAACAGCCCCTTTCAAGGGAGCCAGTCAGACAAGGCCCAAGGCTGCACTACACACGCTAGTAGCGCTGATACTACCCCAGAGCAAGGAAATGAAAGAGGCTCCTAGCATCATTAAAAGAGGAGCCTGTCACCCACTTGTCAGAGTAAACCTGGCCTCCCTCTCATTCTGGAGAGCTGAGCACCAGGCTAAAAACGGGCAAAGTGCCTTATCCTGGCAGAGCGCCGCTAATGAAGTAACCACAGGAAGAGAAGCAGTTACTTGTCTGGCAAAGCTTAGACTATAAAGTGGCCCCGAGTTTCAAATTAACCAGCTCCTCCAGGGTATGGAGTCAAATGGGTGGGCGGGGGAAACTCGTTAGCAGTGCTAACTTGTTCTGTTCCTCCCCCTAGGCATACATCCTTCTGGGCCAATTCCTCCTGTTAAAAAAGGACCATGCGGTTTTCCAAAGGTGGCTGAAAGGGGCATATGGAGCCAGTCCGAGCCAGGCTCAGCGCTGCGCCTCCTGTCTAACGGACTGGTGCTACGCTTTCCTCTAGCGAGCTGGCCACTCAGCCCTCCTGGCGTGTTCTGCGGCCTGCAATAAAGTCTCTCCTGCCTTGAACTGTCCAGCCTCAATGTCTTCTTACTAGATGAACAGAGTCTCTATTGCCCCCAATACGAACTGTTGTATGTTCTTGTGTGGGGTGATTAAGTGGGCCAAATTCTGTCCTTCGTTATTCCTGTCCTACCCTACTGGAGTCACTGAGAGTCTGGCCTAACAACCCCCTGCCCACGGGGCAACCTGGAACTTCTCACTCTTAGCCGAGCTGTTAACTCGGACCCAGGTTCAGGAAGATAGAAAAGCACGTGCTCCAACGCTGACCCCAGGAGTGGCCCAAGTGACGTCAATGGGCTACCTGTAGACTTGAAGGTTAGCCAGGGGTTTAAGTGCCTTGCCGAGTCAGAGCCTAAGAGGGGAAAGCTGGTCTTGTGGTTAAGGCCCCAGGCTGGCACCCAGGAGATCTGGGTTCCATTTCCAGCCTCCCCTATGTGACCTTGGCCCACTGGCTCAGGCCAACGCTTTCAAAATCAGCCATTGACTCTGCATGACACACTGAGCATGTGATGCTGAGAATTCGCTGCTCCCACTGGCTTCCGTGGGAGCTCTGGAAAGGGGCCCTAACTTCTTCCTGCTCTGTAAAAGCAGGTAACCCACTTCCCGACCTCTAAGGGAGGCTGTGTTCATACTGATATTTGCAAAGCGATGTGAGATCTTCACATAAACACAGTGGAAGTACGCACAGAGCACCCTGCTGGAATGGCATAAAGAAGGTGGATTTCCTTGGCACAACAATGACCCGACGCTGCTCCAGGTCTAGGCCTGCCAGGGGCATGGGTCTACTAGGCTGAGCATGCTGTCCCAGCTAGCCCAGTGGCTAGGGAAGCTGCTATAATCTAGAGCAGCTCTGATTGACACTAGATGCACCCAGAATTTGGGAGGTGTCTTAAAGCCGCCTTTGTCTGCTAGGCTGTGCCACCTCTGAGTAAAGGGGAGGGAAGAAGAGTTCCCCCCGAGATTCTTGGGCCCTCTTCCCCCTTTTGGCCTTTCATATGCATATCCCCACTGCAGTGGCGCTGGAACGTTTTTTTACAGTGGGGGTGCTGAAAGCCAGTGGTCCCCACCCCAAACTTTACCTCACCCCCCCCTTACTCCAGTCTGTGCCGTCCCACCCCCCCAGACCTGGGGCCAGGAGCAGGGCCATGGCTCGGGAGGGGTAGGGGGAGGAACATGGACAGGGATAAGGGGGCCAAGGCTAGGACCCCATGTGTGGGGCTGGGAAAAGAGCCTTGGGCATGGATCCTGTGGCATCTGGGACTCTACATGTGGGGCCGAGAACAGAGCCCCGTGTGCAGGTCAGGCAGCTGAGAATTGGGACCCCAGGTGCTGGGCAGGACCTTGGGCGTGGGACCCCACACAAACTGGGGGTGCTGCAGCACCCCCCACACCCCTAGTTCCTGCGCCTATGCCCCACTGCTATAATCTGAGGTGCTCTGCCTCTCCCTACTGACCTTCCCCATGCCGGTTTGCTTGGCATTCTGCTCCAGGATTCTTCTGTTGCTTCACTTCCTGGTGCAAAGTTTTGCCTGCGCTGGAGTAGCTCCATAAAAAAAAAAGCTAGTGAAGTTCTATGTTTGTAGTGCCCATGAGTGCAGTTCAAAGGTGCTCGCTTTACCTATAAAAGGATGGGCTGGGTTTTTTCAGCCCTGCAAACTCAGCCAGGGCTCCCAGCTGAGCTGGGTTATTTCCTGCTCGTGGTGATGGGCAAGAGAACAGAGTCTGTGACACTTGTGGGCTAGCACAGGTGTCCTAGATTAGAAACTAACAACCAGTTCTGATGAGGATGCACAAGAAGCAACAGACTCCAGGCTCCTTTCCTGGAAGATGAATGCGCTTGACCTAGCTCACAGGAGGAAAAAGCAGTGAAAATATGATTTGTGTCATTGAGGTCAGCAGATGGGACTCTGACTCGATGCAAGGAGCAGATTAGCTGAGAATGAAGGTGCTATTTCAATGTAGGTGTCAGACTTCCAGGGTCATATTCCAGTTAAAGCGTCAGGCTGAATTCCAATTCTGCATCTCCAGTGTTGCAACGGGGGTGAAATCCGACAAGGTCCATCTTCCCTTCCTCAGAAAACCCTCTGCCCTGCACAGAGGCCAGGCTCTTCCTTCTGTGTATCTCCCTAGGCCGCTGAAGACAGAGACGCTCTTGGCTTAATATCAGACATCAATTTGTTCAAACCTAGAGGATAGTAATCTGATAAGTAACAGCCAAAGTGGATTTGTCAAGAACAAATCAAGGCAAATCAACCTTATTTTCTTCTTTGTCAGGGTAACCGGCCTAATGGATGCAGGAGGAGGAGTAGATGTGATGCATAGAATCATAGGACTGGAAGGGATCTCGAGAGGTCATCTAGTCCAGTCCCCTGCACTTGTGGCAGGACTAAGTATTATCTAGACCATCCCTGACAGGTGTTTGTCCAACCTGCTCTTAAAAATCCCCAATGATGGAGATGCCACAACCTCCCTAGGCAATTTATTCCAGTGCTTAACCACCCTGACAGTTAGGAAGTTTTTCCTAATGTCCAACCTAAATCTCCCTTGCTGCAATTGAATGCCTTAATAAGGCTTGTGACATAGTCCCACGTGACATTTTCATACACAACAAAAAAAAATGTGGTCTCGATGAAATTACTGTAAGGTGGATGCACAACCAGTCGTAAGACCATTCTCAAAGAATACTTCTCGAGTGTTGGCTGTCCAAATCGTTTGCTGGGAGGATGGATCTGGTGGGGTCCTGCAGTGGCCTGTTTTGGGTCTAGCATTTCATTAAGGACTTGGATAACAGAGCGGAGAGGTTATAAAACCTGCAGCGGACACCAGCTGGGAGGGGTTTCAAGCCCTTGGGAGGACAGGATTAGAATTCAAAAATGTGAAAAATTGGAGAACTGGTCTGAAATCAACAAGATGAAATTCCGCACAGACACGTGCAAAGTACTACACTTGGGAAGGAAAAAATCAAACGCACTGTGATGGGCTGGACCCCCTGGGGTGTTGGGCCACCACTGAGTCAGACTTTTCTGCCAGCCTGGGCCCCCTTTTACCTGGTCTTGCTGGGCCAGGCTCCCAGCTTTTTCCAGCCAAGCACACAGGCAGGGCTACACCCAGCTGCACAGAGAGACAGAGATCTGCTCTGGGAAGGCTCAGCTTACAGGGCTTGCCACAGCACCCAGATATCCACCCCCCTTTGGAGTACAAACCCCAAATTATATGAAATTCGCCTCTTCCCTCAATGTGGAGGAGGGTGTACACAACTTCTCGCTCCCCCAGGTAGAAATCACATAAACGGGGTTATATTATAAACCAGAAATGAATGTATTAACTACACCTCTACCCCAATATAACGCTGTCCTCGGGAGCCAAAAAATCTTACCGCGTTATAGGTGAAACCACGTTATATCGAACTTGCTTTGATCCACTGACGTGCGCAGCCCCGCCCGCCCGGAGCACTGCTTTACCGCGTTATACCCAAATTCGTGTTATATCGGGTCACATTATATCGGGGTAGAGGTGTATAACAGGTGTATTTTAAGTAGTTAAGGAGGTAGCAGACAGAACAAGGCAGATTACTAAGAAAATAAAACAGCACGCAAACGAAGCTTAATACACTAAAGAAACTGGTTGCATGTAAGTTCTCACCCTAAATGTGGTTCTAATAATCTTCTTCACAGGCCAGACACCCTCCCAGCCTGGGTCCGGTTCTTTCCCCAAGTTCAGTCTTAGTTGTTTCCAGCCGTCATCTCGGGTGGGGTAGCCGGGGAGAACTGACAGCCGGGATTACCTCACTCCCCACCCTTAAATAGGATTTGTGTAAGGCGGGAGTCCTTTGTTCCTTTGTTTGACACACATCCCCCAGCGTGGAAAAGTACAGAATTCAAGATGGGTTCCACTATCACGTGACATGGTCACCTGCCTCTGTAGGGCCCCTGCAGCCATTCTTCACAGGCTGACCCACACATTCACAGGAAGATTAAGCTCTTTTACACTCCATTGGCTCTTGCTGATGGGCCATCCGCCCTGTACGGCTTTTTTGTTGTTGTACCTGAAGTGTTAGCCAGCGGAGCGGGAGGGGGTCACCCATAGTAGCATAGTTGAAATACAGATACATAGTCAATAGTCCTAACTTCAGATACAGACGTAACACAGACATCCAAGTTGGATAATCGCATTCAGTAAGTCATAACCTTTCCAATGATATCTCACATGAGCCATCTTGCATAAAGTATATCTCAGTTATGTCATTTTCACATCATAAGCACATTTTCCTCAAGACCATGGAGTGCAACATCACACGCACAACTACAAAATGGGGAATAACTGGCTCGGCAGCCCTATGGCAGAAAAAGATTGGGGGTTATAGGGGATCGCAAGCTGAAAAGAAGTCAGCCAGGCTAGGGCGAGTAAGGGAAATGTCATCCTGGATGTCTGAACAGGAGTGTTGTAAGAAAGACACAGGAGGTAATTGTCCTGCTCTGCTCAGCACTCGTGAGGCCTCACCTGGAGTATTGTGTCCAGTTTTGTGCACTGCGCTTTAAGAAAGATGTGATCAAATTGGAGAGAGTCCAGAGGAGAGCCACAACAATGGTAAAAGTTTTAGAAAACCTGATCTGTGAGGAACTGCAGAAAGAATTTTAGTGCAGGAGGAGAAGGCTGGGGCGGGTGGACCTGATTACAGGCTTCAAATGTATTAAGGGCTGTTACAGAGAGGCTGAAGATGAATTGTTCTCCATGTCCTCTGAAGGTCGGACAAGAAGCAATCGGCTTTATCTGCAGCAGGGGAGATTTAGGTTAGATATTAGGACGGGGTAGGCAACCTATGGCACGCGTGCCGAAGACGGCACGCGAGCTGATTTTCAGTGGCACTCACACTGCCCGGGTCCTGGCCACCGGTCCGGGGATCTCTGCTTTTTAATTTAATTTTAAATGAAGCTTCTTAAA